TTAACTGATATATTTTGTATTAAAAGATATTCATATTTTACATGCTTTTGTGGAAGTTTTAAAAATTGGCCTCAAATTTTTTTGACATATCTCCCGTTGAGAGGTGGGAGGTCCATATACTCTCTGGGTGGGCTTGTAACTGCTTCAACCAATAGAGTACAATGGAGGTGACACTATATGGCTTTTAAGACCAGATCCAAAACGGCCGTGCAGCTTCTGCCTTGTCCACCAGCACGCTTATTCCTTGCTGCCATTCTAAAAGGCCACTGTCCTGGGGCTGCCATACTGTGAGGAAGCCTAAGTCGTAGGAGGCATTCCAGTTAATAGTCCCAACTCAACCTAACCTTCAAGTATTCCCAGTCCAGGCACCAGACATGTGAGTGAGGAAACCTACAGATGATTTGAGCCAGTACAGTCTCCTCCAGCTATCCAAGTCTTGCCAGCTGAGACCCCAGGCCTCACGAACCAGAGTTAAGTCCTCTCTGCTGTATCCTGTCCAACTTCCTGACCCAGAGAATCCATAATGATAATAAAATAGTTGTCATTTTATGTCATGAAACTCTGGGGTGGTTTGTTACACACCAGAAGATAACTAGCACGCTTTGAATAAAGTGACATTTTATGTTTTAACTTAGATCACTGAGAATGATTTTTAATTAAACTAGAAAATAAAAAAGTGAAGAGAAGGAAAAAAGATTGAGACAAAAGTAAAGAGACTTCTAGTTAAGGCAGCATGCAGGAGTTGACAATTCTACTCAATAATAAAATGAATATAGAATGTACTTCCACTTTGAGGAAGATGGAGTAGATATATTTTTCCATATTCCCATCAGTAAGTATAACTAAAAACCTTGGACACCATATATATAAAATAAGAAGAACCTAAAAAGTGGAGAGAGGAAGGAAGACTGGCTAGTGACCTTGGGACCCCAAATGACACAGAGCAGTGCGTTCCCTGGGTTTTCTTTTTGCCTCATATATCCCAGACTTGGAGAAAGCTGGCCACCACCTCCGCCAGCAGCCACAAGCAGTGCCACTACCTCTGGTGTCAACAGAGGCCAAGTGAGGAAATGGACTTGTATTGCCCCCTGGACGTTATGGGGCAGCAGCCTCCTTCCACTGCCAGAGTAGGATCTTTATAGAGTCTCATAACAGAATACCCAAAAGGTATAGGTTTATACCAATAACCAGGAATATCACAAACCGAATTTTTAAAAAGACGATAGAGGCCAACACAGAGATTCTAGTTTAATTCTAGCTTAAATTCTAATTTAATTTCTAATAGAAATTCTAGCTTAAATGTGTAAATATATTTAAAGTAATCGTGTGAATTGGTCTTTGAGAGTTCTAATTATTATGTAAGTATGGGTAACCCACTAAAATATGTTAGGATTTAAATAGCTGGTGTCTTTTTTGAAATAATTTCTTTTGTACATGAAAGAAGTCCATAGGTAGGAAGTGCTGGGCAGGCATGAGGTTTCCATGGTTGTCACTATCCAGGTTTCTTCCATTTTGCTGCTTACCTTTGATTAGCGTCTCATTTCAAGTTCAAAAATGACTGCTCCAGCTCCAGCCATCTCACTAAAAATGTAAGCAGCAGGATGGAAGGGAAAAAGGGAACAGCCTGAATTTATCAAGAGATTTCCCCAAAGCCCCATCAATTTTCATTGGTCAAGACTACATGTATAATCCCAACTAGCTGCTAAGGATGCTGGCAAATGTCATCTTTTGGCTACATTGTATGCAGTTAAGAAGTAAGGTTCTGTTTACTTGAGAGAGAAGGGAGAATGGGCCTGTGGTAAGCAACTAGCAGTCTCTGCCACAAAGTGAAATTTACACAGACTCAGACTGGAGAAAAGATGGAACCACAGACAGTTTCCAAAGGATGAAATGAAGAAAAGCAAAACAAAAAGCAACAACAAAAATAGATACCCCCTCTTACATTAAGAAAAAAGATAACATTATAAATTCACAAATGAGTTTCAATTTAGGAATGGTAGGTAGTGTATTGTTAGTACAGTGCTTGCTATTAATACTAATAGCTAAAATACTACAAATAGCTAAAGAAAAAGTTTTAAAACAGATTTCAAAGTGAAAACATATTTCCCTCTATAATGTATTCTTTGTTTAATAATCTAATAAGCAAGGAAATTCTCTCAGAGCTACTAAACTTTCATTTATTTTATTTACTTGGATAATTGCTTGTGAACCACTGTTTAACTTACATAGTTATTTTAATCATGGTTATTACAAAGATTAATGATGGTTTAAAAATGCTTCCTGGAGAGAGGGAGTAGGAGGAGGGAGGTGGAAATGGTTATGAAAAGATAATAGGAGTGATCTTTGTGGCAATGGAACTGTTCTGTATCTTTACTATGGTGGTGGGTACATGAAAATGCGCATGTGATAAAATTGCATAGAACTAAATGCACACATACACGCATGCACAAAAGTCAAACTGGGAAAATCAGAAGATGGATGAATTGTATCAATGCCAATACTCTGGTTGAGTGTACTGTAGTTTTGCAAAGTGTTATCTTTAAACGGACACAGTGGTACCTCAATCAATAACTCATACAATTGTCCAAGGGCCCTACTGATACAAATAGCTTCTTACTGTGTGCTTAGAACATTCTTAAGATTGTAGTAAGCCTCTGTTATGCAACTTTTATTTGTCCGCCTTCAATTCAATCCCATCTACCCTCTATATTTCAAGGATTCTCATAATGTCTAGCCCACTGAGAGCACCCCTTCGTGTTTTTCAATATCAAGGTATGTACATGGATGTCCATGGGTGTGTGTCTCCATCTACCCTTCCTGTAATTTTTAGAGCTTTAGGAAAGAGGGGAGGAGTGAGTGGAGGATAGAATTTGTTCTCCATCTGCCATGTTGATCCAATCTCTTGGCTAAATTTCTAAGCACACATTGAACTTTTCAGTACCAAACACAGACAGCTGCTAGTATCATATGATCTAATTTGGAAACCTCTGCTTCTGAGGTGATGTCATATTAAGCTATTTCAATTGAAGACTTGGTCCCCATGTTAAAACTGGCATCTGCATGACACATGTGAATAGATTTAATTCTCCTTCCTCAAAATTATCTTTCAGATTTAAATATTAGATCCCAAAAGAATGTCCGGTTCTATATTACAAAGATTCCTACAAGCATGTAACAGCAACAATACACCAGTGCCACTACCTCTGGTGTCAACAGAGGACAAGTGATATTTTTTTCCAACTATAACAAAGAGAGAAAAAATAATTATTCCAAAAAATTTGTAAAGTGCTGAAATTCAAGAATAAGAAAAAGCAACACAGATCCTGAAATGTAATTTCCCTACACTCAACCCTGAAATTACTTCAATCAACAGATTCTTTTGCCAATGTTAATAAATTTAGGAATAATCTACCATTGATTGAGAATTACAGTGTAAATTCCAAACTTTGAAATCTAACATACTCTGATTAGACATGTCTATTGGCTGCCGCCTGCACACCCCCTACCTGGGATCAAGCCCTTGATCTGGAATCGAACCAGCAACCTTTGGTGCACAGATGACGCCCAACCAACTGAGCCACACTGGCGAGGGCTTTTACAAAATATTTAATGAACAAATGCCCGAGGCACTGCTCTAGGCATGTGACACAACAGTGAACTAAACAGACAACACCTCCTGTTTTGTGGACCTCATATTCTAGTAATTACATATATTTTTAGATAAGCTGAACTTGGCCTTTTCCTACAGAAATTACTATCAAAATAGATAAATGTTTTATACCCAAACTCAAATATAGCAAATCTCCTTAGCATCACTCAATCATATAAAAATATGTTTGATAACATTTATAACACAGAGATACATTTAGCTACTGACTTCAAAACATTAGAATATCAGTATCTTGTCAGAGAATGTGAACAAGATCAGTTATCCTAAAATGTACCTGCCTAAAGTGGTTCACTTGGAAAAGGAGGCATTATTGCTAGAGTTTAGCTAAGTGTACTAGATTTAAGGTAACTCTTACCAGGCCTTAATCTATATCAGAAAACCAAGGCACGGAAATGATCCAGAGGTAAGAACTGGGCAGGCTGAGGAGAACACTGGCCTAGCTGGAGCAAGATTTTCATCATCGACAGTTGTACTACCCAGCATGGTAGCTACTAGTCACATGCAGTTATTCAACTTGGAATGAAAATCTTTAAATTCAGCTCTGCAGTCACTGTAGCCACATTTCAAGTGCGCAGAAGCCACACAGAGCCTGTGGTTGCTGCTATGTTGAAAGTGCAGGTACAGAACATTTCCAGCATTGCAGGGAGTTCCATCGGCAAGCTGCTCTAGAAAAGCAGAAGAGCCACACATTTCCCAAAGAGGGCCACAGAAAGTAGCGGTTTGTAATAGCAAAAAAAAAAAAAAAGTGTTCTTCTCCATCCCGTGGCTATTTCCATCCCCGAATCTTATTTTCTCTTCACCCCCTAGAAAATGTCCCCTTTCCTTACGCCTTCTCTATCTTCTCACATTTTTTCCCACTCCCTTTTTTCAACCCCCTTCTCTATTTTTTTGTAGTAACAAACAAGCCGTCCACATTTAATGATTTCACACATTTATTGAGGTTGATATGTTTTAGTAATTTCTCAGTGTTAAAATGTAAGAAGCTGAATCTTTCTAATATATTCTCTCCCCCCGCTCCCCAATACAAAATTTAGGTGAGACTCTTTTTTTTAAGGTATGTATCTTTGCTGTATTTTCCTTCGCGGAATTATCTTTGCTTAGAATCCGGGTGGAAAAGATACGCAATTCTCACTCCAGACTCTGGGGTTTCCCTCCATCAAAGGAAGGGCTCAGGCCTCTGGGCCGGGAAGCCCGCTCGGCCCCTGCAACACTGGTCCTTCCGCTGAACCTCTACTGCCACCTAGCGGAGGGCGGGGCGGGGGCGCCTCCGCCAGTTTGGCGGTTGCTAAGCGACGGAGGCGGGGCCCGGCCTAAGGAGGAGGGCGCACACTAAACGATGCCCAAAGAGCTGTAACAACGCCGCTTTCTATTGGCTGAAGAGTTCTCAGCCACCACCATGAGCCAATGAGCAGAGGCAAACAGATGACGTCAGACGCTCTGCGACTGCTCCCCTCAGCCCTCTCCATCCCCTAGCGACGCGTCCGGCGACCGCCGAAAGGCACTGCAAACACTCGGGGACCTCAGCGGCCCCATGCACACCTCGCCGCTCGCGCTCCTGCAGGTGTTCTTCCTGCTGGTCCCCGAGGGCGTCCGTCCTCAGCCCTCTTCCTCCCCGCCAGGGCCGGGGCCCACCTCCTTGGGGCCAGGGTCGCAGGGCGGGACCCTTGAACCCTCTTCGGAGGGGACTGAAACTCCGCGGGCTGGGCCTGGGACCTCCTCGGTGTTCCCTACGCTAGGGACCCCTTCAGCGCCTGGAGATGGGGCCATGGACCTCTTCCCAGGTGAGGGGAGGGGAGGTGATGGGAACTACAGGCTTAGATCTAACATTCTGTGAGCAAAGTGAATTGCTACCAAGTGAGGTTTGGGGCTGCCAGAAGAGGGGAATTCGAATGCACTTGGAAGAATTCAGGGCTCCTCATCCCTTTCGCTCTACTTTATGTTGCACCTTCGTAGTCTTACCGATCTGTGTCTGCGACTTGACTCCTGGAACCTGCGATATAAATTGCTGCTGCGACAGAGACTGCTCTCTTCTCCATCCGAGGACAGTTTTCTCCTGCCTTCCGGGAAGCGTGAGGTGAGCTGCCCGTGCAGGGTGAGCCCTAGAGGGGGTGGGGGCCCTGGAACGGGTAATAGGTGGAAGTAGGGAGAGAGATCCTTGCTGCCTGCCTCCCTCATTTCCACCGTGGGTGGGATTGCCCTGGTGTTCCCAGAAGTGACTTTGCTCTTCGGGATCTTTAGAGCCGGGCTGTCCCATAGACTGGGACCTTCGTGTTGTCCGGTGGCTGCCCAAAGAGCCGTTCTTTGCCATCTGGCTGACATCTATGGGGCAACCTTGTTTGGACCTAGCCCCGTGCTTCTAAATGTACCTTCTTCATCCTGTGTCTTCCCAGGTCTTCAAGTTGGGTTTGTGTGGACAACTCCCTTATCTTTAGGAGTAATTCCCCATTTCCGTCAAGAGTTTTCGTGGATGTAAATGGAATTAAGCAGTTTTGTGTCCACGTGAACAACTGTGAGTAGAAGCGTGTTGGTTCTTATTGCCTACCATTCATTGAAAGCTGGTTTTGTCTCTGTCCTTTTGTTTTGTGTTTAAACTTTTTTTCTCCTTTGAGAATTTCTATCATCCTCTTCTCCACCTGCCCTCTCTCTCTTTCTCTTATTAGTGAACATTTGCAGGTTTTTAATGCCCTATTCGCTATGGGCCAGAAAACCCATACAGAAGTTTAATTTCAGTCATCCCTGTTGGCCCAGATAATTCCAGGTAGATTCTGTTCCCCTACTTGATACAATCTCCATGAAGGCTCTCACTGAATCTCCAGCAAGCGATACATAGGAGGCACCAAATAGTACATGAATGAATGTCTTTGAAAAATGGCCTATATACCAACCTTGTTTTTATTTTATGAAGCAACAATGGAGGAGAAAGAGCGTTAGAGTCAGATCTCAGCCTTGCCATTTACTTACCAGCTGCTCAGACTTGGACAAATCCCTTGGCATTTCCAGTCTCATTTCTTCCGTTGCGAAATAAGCAATAATAATAATACTAACCCTGAATGTGAAAGTGCTCTGTTAACGTTAAGAGTGCAATAGCAATGAGAGGTGGTGGTTATTATTAAGGTTTTTAAATAGACTTGGGGATTTGCTGATGATAGCTATAACACATTAGCTGCGGCTGCCCCATCCTTTCTAAATCTCCCACTGCCTTCTAGTCCCAGCCTTACTGCTCCAGAGCTATTGCAATAGCTTCCAACTGGCCTTCCTTGCTTTTGCTCTCCCCTCCTGCCTCCTATACCATCCTGCTACTGCTCTGGACCAGTAGTTTTGAACTTTCTTTCCCCAACAACACATGAGAGTCATTCCCTTGGAAACTATAGGATACTTAGGATTGTTCCATTTATATAAACATTGTGTCTCCCAAGGTAAATTATCAGCTTCTAGAAAGGATGGATTATATACCCAGAAGTGGGGTTGCTGGGTCATGTAGTAACTCTATTATTAATTTTTTGAGGAACCTCCATACTGTTTTCCATTGTGTTGGCTATATTCTTATCTCTGATACTAATACTAAAACAATAATTCATTTAACAGATTACAAATAAATTAGAAGGTGATAGAAATCAGAATTGTTAACTCAAGATGGAGTATTGATTGGGAACCTTCTGGGAAAATGTTTTATAACTTAATCTGAGTAGTAGTAATAATATTATGTAGATTTGTAAAAATTCTTTTTTTAAAAACATATATTTTATTGATATTTTACAGAGAGGAAGGAAGAGGGAGAGAGAGTTAGACGCATCGATGAGAGAGAAACATCGATCAGCTGCCTCCTGCACACTCCCCACTGGGGATGTGCCCGCAACCAAGGCACATGCCCTTGGCCAGAATCGAATCTGGGACCTTTTAGTCTGCAGGCCGACGCTCTATCCACTGAGCCAAACCGGTTAAGGCTGTAAAAATTCTTTTGAGTTTACACTTAAGATTACTGCGTTTGTATACTTAAGCTTACTGTGTGTATATTATGCCTCAATAAAAATATTAGTTACTTGGCATGCAAACCATTTAAAAATAAATATTTTGCTTTTATCTAAAACCCTTTTATTTCTAAACACATTTTAGCAAAATTAAACTACTTCCAGAAGCCCCAAAAAGTCAATGCATCCAACTTCCAGACCCCGGCTACAGAGTTTGGAGGCAACTCATTCAATTCAACATTCCAGACGCAGTCGCCAGCACCTTTTTACAGGGTGAGCCTGGGGAAGGGGATGGGATTGTTGGGTTTGATGTTTCCCTCATAACCAACAAGTGACTGGTATCTTTGAGGTCCCCCGCTGCAGTGAGGTAAACCGCTGTCAGTTCTTTTGGAGAGCGGTGTTGTCCACATGAACAAGCTGAATTAATTTTTGTTTCTGGTGGACTTCTGTCCACTTTCATGGTGAATAAGTTTCTGCTATGCTTTGTTCAGGCTGGGGACCCCATTTTGACTTACTTCTCAGAGTGGTCTGTACTAAGCTTGCTGAGGCAGCCTGCAGGAGTTGGAGCTGGGGGACTCTGTATCGAGAGCAATCCTGCAGGTGAGTCAGAGCAGAAGTGCCAACCTTTTTCTTCAAGTTAGAATAGGCTTTCTCATTTACCACCCCCTTAATTCTTTGTGCGTTAAGGTTTCTTGGAGAGTAAAAGTACAACCTGTGTCCGTTTCTTCAAGAATCTGGCAAACAGCTGCACCTTGGATCCAGCCCTCAATGCTGTCTCTTACTACAACTTCACAGTCTTGAAGGTGGGTATCCCTGCTCTCCCACTGTCAGTACTATGGGTTTAAAGTCAACATGCTGCCCACTGCTGGGTTGTGGGCAAAGCATTAACTTGGAAGTCAGAATGCCCAAGAGCTACATAAAAGACAGAGGGCCTGGAAGTCCTATTGTCTGAAGAAAGATGAAAGAATTAGGGCTATATAGCCATGATTAGAGATTTTCTTTTTTTTAATAATATATATTTTATTGATTTTTTACAGAGAGGAAGGGAGAGGGATAGAGAGTTAGAAACATCAATGAGAGAGAAACATTGATCAGCTGCCTCCTGCACACCCCCTACTGGGGACGTGCTTTGAACCAAGGTACATGCCCTTGATCGGAATCGAACCTGGGACCCTTCAGTCTGCAGGCCGACGCTCTATCCACTGAGCCAAACCAGTTAGGGCCATGATTAGAGATTTTCAACCTCCTGGCTAATGGGATTGGCTAGGGAGGGTGAGAAGGGTGACATCTCACTATTTCATCAAAACTTCAGTAGAGCTCAGAGTAGATGGGCATCACAGTCCATCCAACCTCCCTTCTGCTTTCTCCTGGCGTTTTAGTGTAAAGAAGAGTCAGGTAGAAGAGAGGAAGCAAATGATTCTAATATGTCGATTTATTTCCCCTCCAAATGTGAAAATGCAAGCTCCTGGAGATTTTCTCTAAGATGTGTGCATACTCAATTTTCTTGCTTTTCTCTTATTCTAGGTGCCAAGAGGTATGACTGATCTGCAGAGTATGAAGGTATGATGCTGCTCATCAGGAAAAAGTAAAGTGAATATTTGGGCCCTTTGCATCTGAGGCAATTTCAGTCTTGATTATAATGGTGAAAGAAAATGCATTTGTGATGTATCAAAATGTTAAGTGTGAGTCTAAAACAATGTTTTCCATGTGTTCTATACGAATAATAAGTATTATATGAATTAAGAATTCAAAAGGTTGTTAGGCCCTGACCGGTTTGGCTCAGTGGATAGAGCGTCGGCCTGCGGACTGAAGGGTCCCATGTTCAATTCCAGTCAAGGGCATGTATCTTGGTTGCGGGCACATCCCCAGTAGGGGGTGTGCAGGAGGCAGCTGATCAATGTTCCTCTCTGTAAAATATCAATAAAATATATTTAAAAAAAAAAAAAAGGTTGTTAGATAAGTTTGGGAAATATTAACACTATATTTAGGGTGGACTTCTTGGAGTCTTTAATAGGCTTAAGGGCCCTCGTAATCCCTAAGAGGCAAGTATCAAATACATATTTCTAAAACTTAATTGACCATGGAACCTTTATGTTATATCTCAGAATCAACGTTCTGAGAAATATGTTTTGAGATGTGCTGGCTTAGAATGACAGTGACTTGAACTTAAGTTGTAGTCTGGCAGCGGAAGGAGAAAGAAAGTTGCTGGTCAAAATGAAAAATGCTCATTTTAGCTGACATGTAGCTAGAAGAGAAAATGCTGCTTTCAATTTTAGTTGATTTGCTTCTTTCCCTTGCTAGTTCCAGGTTCCTGTAACACCCGTCTCACAGCCCGGTTCTCCTCTGTTGGCTGGAAACACTTGTCAGAATGCTGTTTCCCAGGTAGGAATGGGGACCTCAGGTTCTGGATTGATGAATGTTGTTCGCCATAACTGAGGTACCTCATCTTCAGTACCACACCGACCCCACATGAAGTTTTGTGCATTACCTGAAAATTAACATGTCAAGAATTGAGCCCATCCCCTTCCTCCCTACCATGTTTCAGCCGTTTCCACTGCTACCGTCCTCCAGTATTGTGTGTCGTGAACATTAAGAGTATTTCTGACTCCTCTGTTGATAGGCAGTCTCTTAGGGTTCTTACCATGTTTTCTTCCGTTAGAGAAGTCAGTATCATCTGAAGATCTGAAATAGACTAATCAACTTTTCCTCTGTTCTCTCTCTTCTAATCAAACTACAGAAGTAAAAATTACCTTAAAGCGTAACTTTAAAGACTATGTACAGAAATCTAAGGATCAATTGCTTATAATTTCCATCTCTAGCTGCTATTTCTCTTCATCCTCAGACATGGGACAGCCAAGTAAACCAGGTTTCCATCCACCTACCTGTGCTTCTCTCACCTTCCTCTGCACACAATCAAAACTTATTTTTCTTCCCTTTCAAATCTTAAAACTCCCCTCTCCCATGGACCTTTTAAGAGCTCTTTCCCGTCTCTTTTCTCATGTGTTTTTAAGACTACTTGTTTATTCTCCCTCATTTGGCTATATTTTTAATTGAGATATAATCCTATCTAATAAAAGAGAAACATGGTAATTGGCGTACATCCGCTACCCTTCCCATTGGCTAATCAGCGAGATATGCAAATTAACTGCCAGCCAAGATGGCGGCCAGCAGCCAGGCAGCTTGAAACTAACATGAGGCTTGCTTGCTTCAGTGACGGAGGAAACCAACGTTCCCCGCCTGCCTTGCCGGCCTCTGAGCCTGCAGTTTAAGAAACATTGTTACAAATATAGAAGCTAAACAAAACCCCAGAAACCTGCTTTCAGCCCGCTGGGATCTCAGAGCTGGAGTTGATACAGTGTTTCGATTATAGAACCCAAACAAACCAGATACCTGCTTTCAGCAGCAGAAGCCTCAGAGCTGGAGCCAGAGCTAAAGCTGGCCCAGAATAAAAAAAGAAAAAAAGGAGCAGTTGGGAGCTTCAGTCACCCACCAGCCTGAAAACAGCCCTCAGCCCCTCACCCAGACTGGCCAGGCACCCCAGTGGGGACCTCCACCCTGAAGGGTGTGTGACCAGCTGCAAACAGCCATCATACCCTCACCCAGGCTGGCCAGGCACCCCAGTGGGGACCCCCACCCTGAAGGGTGTGTGACCAGCTGCAAACAGCCATCATCCCCTCACCCAGGCTGGCCAGGCACCCCAGTGGGGACCCCCACCGTGATCCAGGACACCCTTCAGGGCAAACCAGCCGGCCCCCACCCGTGCACCAGGCCTCTATCCTATATAGTAAAAGGGTAATATGCCTCCCAGCACCGGGATCAGCGGAGCCGCGAGGCCTCCCAGCACCGGGATCAGCAGAGCTGAGAGGCCTCCCGGCACCGGGATCAGTGTGACAGGGGGCAGCGCCCAGACCCCCTGATCGCCCTGTGGCTCTGTGTGTGACAGGGGAAGGCGCCCCAACTCCCTGATTGGCCCTGCTCTGTGCGTGACGGGGGTGGCACCGCAACCTCCCCATCGACCCTGCCTTGAGTGTGACGGGGTGGTGCCCCAACCCCCCATCGGCCCAACCCTGAGCGTGACTGAGGGTGGCATCGCAACCTCCCGATCCGCCCTGCTCTGTGCATGACAGGGGGCAGCTCCCCAACTCCCCAATCGGCCCTGCTCTGAGCCCGACCAGGGGCTGCACCTAGGGATTGGGCTTGCCCTCTGCCACCCGGGAGCAGGCCTAAGCCAGCAGGTCGTTATCTCCCGAGGGGTCCCAGACTGCGAGAGGGCACAGGCTGGGCTGAGGGACCCCCCCCTCCCCGCCGAGTGCACACATTTTTGTGCACCGGGCCTCTAGTTAACATATAATATTGAATTAGTTTTAGATGTACAATATGATTTGATATATGTAACGGGGTGGGCAAAAGTAGGTTTACAGTTGTGAGTTAACGACCATCACCACACAGTTACACATTTTTCTCTTGCAATGAGAACTTTCAAGATCTACTCTTATCAACGTTCAGATATACAGATTTGTTCATAGTAGTTACCATGCTGTGCCCTCATTCATCTATAATAATAAAAGCATAATATGCTAATTAGACCGGACAGCCAGACGATCTTCTGGAGGAAGCTGGGGCTGTGAGGGCCAAGGCAGCCACCGCGACTGCAAGGGCCGAGCTTCTTGCACAAATTTTGTGCATCAGGCCTCTAGTTTATAATAAAACCCTTAAAGACAGAAAATTTAAATTACACATAATTGGCCCACTAAATAATCTTTATTATAGTCAATTCTACTTTTGTATTGCAGGTCATCTATGAGATAGAGACCAATGGGACTTTTGGAATCCAGAAGGTCTCTGTCAGTTTTGGACAAATCAACCTGACTGTTGAGCCAGGCGCTTCCTTACAGCAGCAGTTCATCATTCACTTCAGGGTAAGGGCCCTTCTCCTATGGGGGACAGAGCGGGAAGGAATATAGTTCCTCTGTGTCTGTAACATGTGTGAAGTAGAGTGAGAATATGAAGGCCTACTTCAGTCTGTCAGTTGAGGCATTTCTTTTTATAGTGTGCGGACTTCCTGAATACATTTACAAGGATACATAATCCCTTCAGTACAGAGGAAAAGAACAGACACTGCTATAGCACAGAGTCAAAGCAAAGGGAACCATAGAGCACACTGGTGTCACTGTGCAAGAGGCCTCCACATCCAGTATGCCATAATTGAACTACTAGTGATAGGGATTCAGCAATGCCTGTTCATTAACATTTCCTCTGATTATCTACTTGGCCCCCAGCAAAGCAGGAATTCAATGTCAAATCCAAACTCTTTTTAAATAGTCATTTTGAATCATAAACTCAGCCATCATCTCACAGAAATTCTCATATTTCTGTGCATTCAGTAGATACTTTTTTCACTTTTATATTTCTGTATTATTTGAGCTTACGTGCTTAGTGAGTATGAATTTTTATCGGTGTATTTATGAACGTTGTCAAAAATGTAAATGGCATTCACTGTTTTAATCGTTCCTCACTTAACCTAAGTTTCCAATCTTGATCACCACCTTTGGCTTTCTTCTGCTGCTACTTTTTGTACCTTGCCGAGTCCAGTTTTTTTCTCAGCTCTGCCTCCAAGTGATCAACCAAGTCTCATCTTTCCGAGTTCATCTCTGGAAAATCTATAGTTAATTAAAATATATTTATGGCCGAAACCGGTTTGGCTCAGTGGATAGAGCGTCGGCCTGCGGACTGAAGGGTCCCAGGTTCGATTCCGGTCAAGGGCATGTACCTGGGTTGCGGGCACATCCCCAGTTGGAGATGTGCAGGAGGCGGCTGATCGATGTTTCTCTCTCATCGATGTTTCTGGCTCTCTATCTCTCTCCCTTCCTCTCTGTAAAAAATCAATAAAATATATATTTTTTAAATATATTTATGAATTACATTTAAATTCTTCTCCTTTCAGCCAGGCTGAACATAGACCTAAATTGATAGTAATTTTTTAAAAACAGGGTTAATAGATCTTTGCTTGTAACCCTTGGTAGCAGTGCCATACAGTGAAATTATATAGTAAATTTTAATATTCAGATCACTCAGGATTTACTTCAGGGGATACAAATGGAAGTCATTGGAACAGAAATTTTTGCAAAATCCTGCAGTGTGGAAGGAGGCCCCCAGTGCAGCTACCTTCCTGTATTGCCTTAAGGAAGGGTGTGAAGAAAGCAGTGGAAGGTGTGAGAGCATGCTTTCCTCCATAAGTGACTTTCTTTACTCTTTCTGCAGGCTTTTCAGAGCACAGCCACTTCCCTTCCTGGTCCTAGAAGTGGGAATCCTGGCTACATTGTTGGGAAGCCACTCTTGGCTCTAACTGGTGACGTAAGTCACTCTGTATCCTTTCTGGGGCTGAGTGGCCTGTTGCAGACTAATGAGAAAAGCTGCAGCTGCTGATCTTTTGGATTTCCCAATTCTGCAGTCCCCCATTTTTTAGGTATCCAGGACTTCCTTTACCAAGCCATTAATTCAGTGTATTCTCAAATGGTGATACGACCAAAGGCTTTAAAACATCTTAGACTGGCTGAAGGTGAAGATCATGACTGATTTTATTTAATGAGGTATTTATATGCTGGTGTGTGCTTAACCATTTTTGGAAAAACACTATCTCTGTGTGCTTTTTAATTCTTAAAAGAAGAAAACGAATTGCGACATGAACGATACCATGATATTAATAAAATGTAAGTAGTATTAAGGAAACAATAAGAGCATACATTTTCCAGTCTGCCTACTTTTCTTCTGTTATGACCTCCTTGACCATCACTTTCTAACTCAGATGACCCTCTTGCAGAGCCAGGGTGATGGAACTTGCTCTGTCAGGAGACACAAAGTACAATTTGGGGTGAATGCAATGTCTGGATGCAAACTCAGGTAATTCATTGCTCCCCCATCATTTCCCACAATTTTGTCTCTATTTAGGGATTATATTGATATGGTAACTTCTGTATTTTGAATGAGAGTTCAGAGATTGCTAGTTAGGAATAGTCTTAGAATCTAAATGATATTCATAATGCTAAGAGTTTTCTGACAGTCCTCTATACCTACCGAAGATTTTTTCCCTCCAATTCATTTTATTCTATTATCCTATACAATAACAAGGCTAATATGCAAATTGACCAAACAGCAGAACAATCGGTCGCTATGACACACACTGACCACCATGGGGCAGACACTCAATGCAGGAGGTGCCCCATGGTGGTCAATGCGTTCCCACAGGGGGAGAGCCCTCAGCCAGAAGCCGGGCTTATGGCTGGCGAGGGCTCCCAGACTGCAAGAGGGCGCAGGCTGGGCTGAGGGACCCCCCCCACCAAGTGCACGAATTTTGTGACCAGACCTCTAGTTTCTAATATTTGGATTAATATGTGAATATGGTTACATTTGAGTTAGCATTGGACTGCAGCTTCCATGATGTTTAATTTCAGGCTGAAAAAGGTGGACTGCAACCACTTGCAGCAAGATATGTACCAGACTCTTCACGGGAGGCCCAGACCAGAACATGTTGCCATATTTGGTAACGCTGATCCAGCTCAGAAGGCAGAGTGGACCCCGATCCTCAGCAGGAACTGCAGTGTTTCAGTAAGGAGAGAAATACCTGTCTGACCGGGACTCGCATCCCTATTCTGTTGAAATTAAAACCAGCCCTATTTACATAAATAATGTGGTTATCATCCTATATAATAAAAGGCTAATATGCAAATTGTCCCCTCGACCAGAAGTTCAACCGGGAGTTCGGCCAGGGGATGGGGCTGGCTGGCCAACCGCCCACAGCCCCTCCCCCTGGCCGGCCCCATCCCCCGATCGCCCCCCACCCTGATTGGGGGTGGGCTGGCCAGCCAACCTCTCACATCCCTTCCTCCCAGCCAGCCCGGCTCGATTGAGGCGGGCTGGCCGGACCCCACCGTGCACGCATTCGTGCACCAGGCCTCTAGTCCTATATAATAAAAGGCTAATATGCAAATTGACCGAACAGTAAAACAACCAGTCTCTATGATGCACACTGACCACCAGGGGGCAGACGCTCAACGCAGGAGCTGCCCCCTGGTGGTCAGTGCGCTCCCGCAGTGGGAGTACTGCTCAGCCAGATGCCGGGCTCACAGCTGGTGAGCACAGCAGTGGTAGCGGGAACCTCTCCCACCTCCACGTCAGCACTAAGGATGTCCGACTGATGGCTTAGGCCCGCTCCCTCCGGGCCTGAGCCATCAGTCGGACATTCCCCGAGCACTCCCAGACTGCGAGAGGGCGCATCTCGGCTGAGGGGAAACTCCCCTGCCCCCAGTGCATGAATTTCGTGCACCGGGCCAATAGTCTATATATATATATAAAAGCCTAAGTGACTGTTACAACCAGTCGCTATGATGTGCACTGACCACCAGGGGGCAGCCGCTCAGTGCAGGAGCTGCCCCCTGGTGGTCAGTGCACTCCCACAGCCAGCCTCCTATGGCCAGCCAACCTCCCACGGTCCCTCCCCCGAGTCAACTGGCCCGATTGGGACTGGGCAAGACAGCCCCAATTGGCCCCAATTGCCGACCAGGCCGAGGGACCCCACCTGTGCACGAATTTGTGCACTGGGCTTCTAGTAAGAATATAAGAAATCATACCCATTTGATGTCATTATTTCAGGTTAGGTTTATATTTAACTTATTTCCTGAGAGAAAAATTTGAAGGTAGAAAATCTAGAGATTGCTCTGTGGTTCAAAATCAAACTACTGCCTTAGCCAGTTTGATTCAGTGGATAGAACATCAGCCTGTGAACTGAAGGGTCCCAGGTTCGATTCTGGTCAAGGGCACATGCCCAGGTTGCGGGCTCGATCCTCCGGGTGGGACATGCAGGAGGCAGCTGATTATTGATTCTCTCTCATTATTGATGTTTCTATCTCTCTCTTCCTCTCCCTTCCTCTCTGAAATCAATAAAAATATTTGAAAAAATCAACCTTCCTCATTGTAAGAGAAAAATATATTACATATATATTTCAAGTATTCTTGCATTCCTGAATATTTGATCAGCACAGATTCTTTCTTTGAGGTTGAAATTATGTTCTTTCTATTATAAAATTTGTATTTTTACATTTAATAACAATACATTACCAAGTCAGAAATTTAATTTATTAAATTAAAAGTAAAAACCTCAATACCCCCTGCCCCTGAAGTCACCTCATCCAGCTGTTATGTTTTTACTTTTTCGGGTGGCCCACTAGATGAGTTCTCTTGACTGCAGTCTGACTAAAATAAGGAAATTTGCTGTGTTCTTCTATTTTCTTCCCCTTTGCCTTCCCCTTACCTCCTCTCTTTAGGTTGCTGTACCTTTAATTTTCTTTTTATTTAAAAATGTAAATTATTTATTTTTCTGTATAAATAATACATACACTTGGCTTGAAAATTTCAAAAAGTACAGATGAACCATAATTTATTTTACCGGTTTTATGAATGGACATTCAGGTGCTTTTCGAGTTTTGCTATTATATACAATGCGGCATTTTATAACCTCATTCAGGTTACCACATCAGACATGTGAGAATAAACCTATATGTTAAATCCTAGAAGTAAGAATTTCTAGGTCAAAGGGTATAGGCATTTAAAGTTTTAATAACTACTGCCAATTCATTCTCTATACAGGTTATATCAATCTGTAGTCCCTCCATCCATCCATGAGACTGCTTGTTACCCCAAACTTACATCAATACTGTGTTTTTGAATTTTTTAAGCTTCGCTCTTCTAAGTGAAAATAGCATTCCAGTGTAGTTTTATTTTTCTCTATGAATAAGGTTGAGTATTTTGACATATGGTTGAACAATTTGTGTTTTCTTCACTGTGATCTATATATATCACTTGCCCATTTTTATTGGATTATTGGTCTTATGACTTACAGGAAATCTTTGCATATTTGAGAAATGCTTTTTTTTTTTCTGTGATTTGATTTGCCGAATTTTTTTTTTTCTGAGTTTGTCATTTGTCTTTTGACTTTGTTTATGGTGTTTTTTGCCATGCAGAAGTTGACTTTTATGTTGTGAAACTTACCGGTCCTTTTTCTATTTTACCTTGGCGTTTTAGTTCAGACTTTGAAAGACTTTTCCCCTTAGATACTATTTTTAAGTAATGTTTTTCCCTTTCTCAGCACTATTCTGACTTTAATCCTTATATACTTCTTTCCTTTTGCGGAGATTTGGGGGATAACTAAACACATGTATTGATCCAGTCTTTAGGCAACTGAAGTCAAATTGAGTTCTCTTAAACTTCAAAGCCATGCTGAGGGATTGTGGATTTTGGATGCTACCCGGCTGAATACAGGAAGGGGTTGGATTGAGATTCTAGTGGAACTACTCTTTATTATTCTTAAATTTACATGTTAAAATCACATTTCCAAAGAGCATTTGACAACATGGGAAAATGTTCCAAATGTAGAATAAATGAAAAGAAAAATGTTTAAAAGTATTTGGAACAAACTTATGAAAAAATATTCAACGTCATTAGCCATTAGAAAATTGCAAAACCATGATGAGATACCACTTCACACCCACTAGGATGTCTGTAATTAAAAAGATGGATAACAGGTGTTGGCAAGGATGAGGCGATATTGGAACCCTCAGACATTGTTGGTGGGACTGCAAAATGGTGCAGCCACTTAAAAACCAGTTTGTTACTTAATAAACATAAACATGGCCTGTCTTCTCCTGCTGCCAGTTTATACACGTTATTGCCTATATCTGAGCCTTACTATAAAGAAGTATGAAGCTAGAAAAGCACAAAGCATATTTGAAGATAGTTTGTATCTGCTAAGTTATAGTAACCTACTGATTAAAGTACTCACTTCCATCAATCCTTCCTGCATCTTAGAATTAATCCTCCAAGGGTCAGACGACTTGTTAAGACTTCATAATCACTGAAATGCCTTCTTCCTTAACTTTTCACTGCTCCTATGTTCAATCCTTTGCTTCAGGCAAGTGTCTGCTCAAGGCCAGTGCCTCGTACATGCCAGGCACATAGGAGACACTCAGTAACTATGATTCACATGAATCAATGATGTCCCTCCATGGCATCACGTGCTGTTCTAGTTGTATACCTCATTATATGCCATCTCTCTACCTGAATTCTCCTTTAATTGCCATTTCTTGGTCAGATATTACTCATCCCAGTTCCATCCTCAACCAGAAATGGCTGTTTCTTCTTCTGGCATTCCACAATACTGACTGCGCACCACTCACTGATCACTTCTTTTTATTATTTTTCTAATCCTCACCTGAGGACATGCTTAGAGAGAGGGGGAGGGGCATCAATTGGTTGCCTTCCATACGTGTCCTGACCAGGAATTGAACCAGAAACCTTTCAGTGCATGGGACGATGTTCCAACCAACTGTGCCAGTCCCACTGGACATACTGAGCACTTCTTATAGCTATTGTAAATGGGCTTTCATTTTATAATCTCTATATTAGTAATTTCCATTTTAGAATTTTAATTTTCCTATGATCAAGGACAGTAATAGGGTCTATGTGAACTTAGAAGCCACATTGCTTTCTCTGTTAATGTAGACTGTGTAAGAAATAATGGCTACTCAGTGCATGGTGATGGATTATAGGTGGCCATCAGAAATTCAAGCAGATGCTTCTTTACCCTCTGCAGGCTACAGGTTGCACTTCTTGCTGTATCATACCAGTGTCCCTGGAGATCCAGGTATTGTGGGCATATATAGGCCTCCAGTCGAACCCACAAGCTCATGTGTCGGGAGCACGATTCCTGTACCAGTGTCAGTCCATAAAGGTAAGTCATGGCTCATAAAGGACCACTAATCTTTGCAAAGCCTAGACCAGCCAGGGGCAAACTACGGCCCGAGGGCCGGATCCGGCCCGTTTGAAATGAATAAAACTAAAAAAAAAAAAGACCGTACCCTTTTATGTAATGATGTTTACTTTGAATTTATATTAGTTCACACAAACATTCCATCCATGCTTTTGTTCCGGCCCTCTGGTCCAGTTTAAGAACCCATTGTGGCCCTCGAGTCAAAAAGTTTGCCCACCCCTGTCCTAGACTGTCTTATCAGCCATTTGATGACTATATAATTTTTGACTTCTGAGAGACAGTTTATGCTACCAGCTTGGTTACAGTGAGCTGACACAATTTACTTTCAAGTAGATCCCTCCCAGCCTGGTTACTGATTTTTTAATATCCTGAATCCAGACGATAGTGTAGGTTAGTTTCTTTTAAATTATCATACCACTATTACTATATTGGTTGATTCAACCACAGAAAATATTTTCCATAACTATATATTCAATGTGACAGTCACACACTTTAGTCCAGTGGTTCTCAACCTTCCTAATGCCGCGACCCTTTAATACAGTTCCTCATGTTGTGGTGACCCCCAACCATAAAATTATTTGCTTTGCTACTTCATAACTGTCATTTTGCTACTGTTATGAATTGTAATGTAAATATCTGATATGCAGGATGTATTTTCATTGTTACAAATTGAATATAATTAAAGCATAGTGATTAATCACAAAAACAATATGTAATTATATATGTGTTTTCCGATGGTCTTAGGCAACCCCTGTGAAAGGGTCGTTCGACCCCCAAAGGGATCGCGACCCACAGGTTGAGAACCGCTGCTTTAGTCTCTGAGTCTTTTGCTCTGAGAGATGTCTGAGACTTTACTGCCTATGTTTTAAGATTGTTATGGTTTCGGAACTTACAAAGTCTTTTATCTGTGTTTATTCTTGTGTATAGTGTAAGTTGGTGGTCTAGTTGCATATACAATTGTCAAAACTCATTACACTGAGCATTTGAGATGTGTACATTTTGTTGTATATAAATGATACTTCAATGAAAAAGTTAAAATGAAACAAAAAGACAAAAAAAAAAAAAGCCACTGACTAGGGGTTAATATTTGCAATACACCTACCTGGCAAAGTCCTTGTATGTAGAATAAAGAACTCTTACAATTCAATAATGAGTTACAAACTTGAATCAAAGAGGAATGTGTCCTAGTTCATAGTCTGAAATATGTAGCTACAAAACATAAAGAGGTGGTATCCACAGCTTTTTCTCTGATAATGAGTTTTTATTTGAAATGATTCGACATGCAGTTTACATATAATGGTTTAAAAATTGAGATTATAAAAATGTAATATAGTTTTATATATATATATATGCACAAATGATGTACTTTTTATTACCAGAGCCAAACAAAACCTAATGCAAACTTTTCATGTTGTTACAAAGTAAATCTTATTTGGGGGTAAATGGAATTTGCTGCATATAAACTAAATTGAAGAAAAAAAATCCCCTAAAATCTCACAAAATGTTAAAACAGAATGTCAGTAGCAATTTCTGAAGTAATATCATAAAATATTGTAGGTTAAGGTAAAAGTAAAATAAATCAACCATATATGACAACTGAATCCCTACTAAAAGAAATGAGCTGACTTGGCTATGTGCCTTTTGTTGTCTTGATAAAAGAATTTAGATAACTAGACTTTGAGAGAGGTTGTTTTTTTCTTTGGTTTCATTTTTTGTTTTTATTTTTTCACTGTTCTTGCTGCTCATGCTAAACAGTGAATTTTCAAATTTTGCTTATACATAATTTTTTAAATGTAAATAGAAAAAATTAGACTTTAGAATTCAAATATAACACACTGACTGAACTTACCTCAGAAATCTTGTTCTTTATGAGGACTAAGAAAACAGAGATACACTCAGAATAAGTTATTCTCATTGCATTATGTGGAAATACAGGACTAAAACAATTTTGTATTATATTCTCAAGTGTGTTTGAGACCAGCTTGTTTTTATGTATGAATAAACTTGGGTTCTTACACAGATGCTACTGAAAAAGAAAAAGAGTAAGCTATTAAGACCTAAAGCTCTGGGATCATGAGTGAACAGACTGATGTGTGGCCTTGAGGTACCGTTGCGCACTAGGCTTGTTTACACCAGCATTACCACAAATGCGAGAGTAATTTGTTGTGCTATGACTTTATAAGTGCCACGTCACTGGACACTAGGAATTTTTCAGCTCCATTATAACCTAAAGGGACCACCATCATACACATGGTTGTCATTGACCAGAACATTGTGGAACTGCCAGATGTCCGTATCTTTGTCTTTCTGTGGAACTATAATTTTCTTCAGAAAAAGGCCCTCCCTACTGAACGGTATAGTTGTAAGACCATCAGTCAACATTTTGGAACTAGATGAGGAAAGGCATTTCATCATACAGAGTAATTTCCTTATTTTCAGTTCTGTGCCTCACTCAGTCCTTCTTTATGCCCAACGTCTCTAAACCCAGAATTTCTCTGATTTGAATTGTCCAGTCTCTTCTCGAGGTGGGGAAGGGGTTGTTGCTTGTTTGCACTGAGGGAGTCCCATTCAGTAACCATGTTCTGTCCCTACCGCCCTGTTACCTTCTGTTACTGAGTCTTTCGGGTCTACAAAGACTTGCTTGCTCTAGTCTCTGGAGGCTTTTAGGTTCAGCCTTCTTTCCCTTTGTGAGCCTGGACCCCCCTGGAGCCTGATAAGGTAGAGCTGCAAAGCACGTCACAGCAGTTTTGCCATCTGGCCTCTCTGATATCAGGCAGTTCCCCAGTTGAGGGAAGCTAGCATCAGTCTTTAGGTAGGTATAACTGTTCACAGTTCTGGTGTCATGGACTGTTGCTGACAAATTCATTTCCTGTGTCTCATAGAAAATTACATAGGACCAATGTGAGAAAAAGGTATATCTTGCTTAGAGCAATTTGGTTTGGGTCTTTCTGCAGGGAAAGTTATAATAAGTCAAGTAGAGGGCTATTTAAACTGGTACCAAGTGCAGACCTGTCATGGACTTTCTTCCTGCAGGATCCCCAGGTAACGGAAATGTCTTTGACAACTACTGTGACCTTTGTGGACATTACCCAGAAGCCAGAGCCTCCACGGGGCCAACCCAGAACCGACTGGAAATTGCCATTCGACTTCTTCTTTCCTTTCAAAGTGGCCTTCAGCAAAGGAGCAGACTCTAAGAAAGGTTCAGTCTCTCCCGTCCTTATCCTGTGTCTCTTATTCCTTGGAATTCTCAGCCTAGAGACTAAGTAACAAAAGGAGAGGAATCGGATTTTAATTTTCCCTATGGGAAGTCCTACGGCAGCCTACTTGTGTTGGCTAATGACCAGAGAGCCTTTAGGAGAAGAGTGGACCTAGCCTTTGTACATGAGAGAAGAGATTTTAGAAAAGCATTAAAAATATCTTGTTCATCCTAGCTCTCTGCTTAGAACTTGAACATGCTTCGGTAGTGTCAGTTGCAAAGATCTGCTCCAAAAATTGAGTATATAACCTACAGAATACCAGCTACACATCAAGTTCTGTACTCCTCAAGCAGGAAAGGGTGCAATGAGCCCTTCCTCCAGCCCTTCAGCGTGTGATGCCTGACTAAAGGTTTGCAAACCTTCATCCATCTGCTCACAGGCACAGCTGGGCCCCACATCAAAAGGAGCATGCTCCTGCCATCCCCCACGTGAACTTGGGAATAGCTGCCCTCTGGACTTGAAAGAAGCTGACTGTTCAGAACAGAAAACTCCTGGCTATATATTTTATCTGGCTCCTCCCTACTCCCTTGGGCCAGTCTTCCCACAAGCAATTATTTCTACAGTTCCCAAAATGAATGTAGAATCCCAGCCCCCTTTCCTACTAGCAAATGACCCTACCTCTTGTGTTTTCTCCTTTCCTCCACTGTGGTGGAGAAGTAAAACTGATTGAGAGCTCAGTTGTATGAATCCCAGCGGCACACACAAGTTGACTGACGTGGTCTGCCTCGTGATTATTTTTCTACATATATGAGGGGTAAAAAAACAACGCAAACTTCGCCGTTTCACACAGTTCCCCAATACCCTCCCCTCTGGCATCTATCAGTCTGTTCTCGGTATCTATGAGTCTGTTTCTATTCTGTTTGTTCATTTATATTGCTCTTTAGATTCCACGTATAAGTGAAATCATATGGTACTTGTCTTCCTCTGACTAACTTATCTCACTTAGCATAGCCCTTCAGGTCCATCTGTGCTGTCACTAATGTAAGATTTCATTGCCGTAGACCAATTCCAGCATGTCATAATTTTAAGAGTTCCATCAAAAGGTTGATGAAACTTGGGGACTCAACAGGGTTGAGTCACACATGTAGTCGCCATCTGGGAATGGCTAAAGGCATTTCCCCAAACCTGAATAGGAAACTGATTGTGGCTGCCAGACAGTTAAAGGGCATCTTAATCTACATGTTATTGCCTCTACTGGCCAAACACCTGAACAGCCATAGGCTATTCCCCAAACTGACAATGCTTCTGTACCCTTTGAAACCTTACCCATTGAAGTGTATTATCTCCATCTTGCCTTAGGGCAAATTGTGTTAATAAAAGCAAGGGTCCTAGACAAGGAGGGACTCTCCAGTTCCTTTAGCTGAAGGTCCTCTGACCCCCAATGCCTTTCAAAATCATATCTCGTCTCCGGATTCTTTATTAGTCTCTGGATTCCTATGTCATCTACGCGCAGCCCCTTTTCCAAATTCCTGAACCCTTCTTGATGCTGGGACATGAACCCCGGCATAAATGGACACCCGAAGTGGAACTAGAGCAACAACAATATTTCATTCTTTTTAAGGCCAAGTAATATTCCATTGTATAAAGGTACCACCACTTTACACACTCCTCTATTGATAGGCACTTGGGTTGCTTCCATAGCATGGTTATTGTAAATAACGTTGCAATGAACATAGGGGTGCATATATTCTTTCTAATGAGTGTTTTGGGTTTCTTTGGGTATACCCAGAAGTGGAATTGCTGGGTCATAAGACAATTCCATTTTAATTTGTTTTTGAGGAACTTCCATACTGTTTTCCATGGTGGCTGCACCAATCTGCAGTCCCACCAACAGTGCACAAGGATTCCCTTTTCTCCACATCCTCACCATCAGACATATATAGATCAATGAACAGATAAAGAACGCCCAGAAATAAACTCACACTATATGATCAATTCATATTTGACAAATGAGGCAAGAACATACAAGGGGATAAAGATGGTCTATTCAATAGATGGTGCTGGGAAAATTGAACAGATACATGCAAAAAAAATGAAACTAGACAATCTTCTTACACCATATACAAAAATAAACTCAAAATGGATTTAAAGACCTAAATGTAAGACTCGAAACCATCCTAGAAGAAAACATGGTCAGTTAAATCTTGGCCATTTCTCTTAGTAATATTTTTTTTCTGATATATCTCCTCAGGCAAGGAAAACAAAAAATAAACAAATGGGACTACATCAAAATAAAAGGTTTCACACAGCAAAGGAAACCATCAACAAAATGAAAAGACAACACATTAAAGGGAGAGCATATTCACCAATGAGATGTGATAAGGGGTTAATATCCAAAATTTATAAAAAACTCACAACACCAAAAAAACACACAATCCAATTTAAAAATGGGCAAAGGACCTAAGTGGACATTTCTCTACAGAGGACATACAGATGGCCAACAGACATGACAAGGTGCTCAACATCACCAATCATCAGAGAAATGCAAATTAAAACCACAATGAGATACCACCTGTCAGATGGCTATCATCAATAAATCAACAACATAAAGCAATTACATAATCTTTGGGAATGTTTCATTAAAATGTTGATTCCTGGGCCCTGGCCCTGGAGGTTGAAAGTGGGGGCTCTAAGAATCTGTATTTATCCAAAGCTTTCCTGGTGCTTCTGATGTGTAGCCTGGTTTGTGAAACTACAAAGTGACGTTGCATAGTGTGTGGAAACTGGTTCATGTAAAGGTTTGCCTTATCATCGCCAACTCACATAATACATCTACCAACCTAGCCTACTTCCTTGTCTCTAAGAATTCCCATCATTCAGTGCTCAGCTTAGTGTTCACATAACCTGTGTGGCTCCCCCCCCCCCCCCCCCCCACTCTCCCTGCCACCACTGATTTCACCAGAAATGGAGTTCTGGACCAGTTAGGCCAGTAAGATTTTCTCTCCAGGAATTTGGAACTGGGACCAAGTCCAGAAGTCAGTCAGAAATAGGCACTAAGAATATTTTATGGTTGAGGAAGCCATTCTCCACCAAATATTCACTAATGAAGAGTCTATCTTTGAAGGAGGAAAAAGAACAGATGTGCAGAGAAATGTAAATAAGAGACTGAGAGATGGGGACGGTCTTAGTTCCTAACTTCCAGTTCCTTGTACCCACCTGTTATGAGATCCACTTTACCTCCTGCTCGTAGAGACTATAAATCCTCCTTCAGTAAATTGCCTTGTTTGAATAAGATTCTATTATTAACAACTAAAGAAGCTAAGACTTAAATAACTTAAACCTAGTACTTTATAGCATGTAAAGTGGCAGGCCTCAGTCCTGCATTCTGATAGTCCAACTAGAGGCCTGATATACGAAATCATGCAAGGGTAGGCCTCGGCGGCCCCGGCCGCCTCACGGCCCCACCCCCCGCCCCCCACCAGCACCCGCCTTGGCCTGGCGTTGCCCCCGTCTGCCATCCACACACCTCTTGGGCCTCCCTCTTTGGGGTGATCGTGGAGCCCCCTGATTGATCACCCCACTGACTGGTGGCCTGGGCCTCCCTCTGCAGGACAATCATGGGATGATGACTGGGCCTCTGACCAATCACATCCCACCCGCCTTGGCTGGCCTGGCACCAGTGGTTGTCATAGCATGGTCATCAGGACGGGTTGTTTGGCTGTTCGGTCGATTTGCATATTATGCTTTTATTATTATAGATTCTAAACAGTCCACTTCCTACACGACTCTTTAGTCTTGGCCAGCCCTATTACCATCTGCTGAGACAAAAGTTTAATCCCTCCAATAAAAAAAGAATCACTTTTGTCCTGACTGGTATTGCTCAGTGGTTAGAGTGTCAGCCTGCACACCAAAGGGTCGCAGGTTCAATTCCTGGTCAAGGGCATGTAGTTGAGTTGCAGGTTCAATCCCCAGCCCTACCTGCAGTGCATGGAGGCAACCAATTGATGTGTCTCTCTCACTCTCCCACTCTCTCTAAAAATCAATGGGAAAAGATCCTCAGGTGAGGATTAACCAAAAACAAAAAACAAATCACTTTTTAATAAAAATCACATGCAGGAAAGATACCATGACAATCATTTCCTAGCTAATAATTCTGGTATTTGATTTTTCCCATCCATAGTCACATAGCGCACTCCTCTCTCTTTACTGGAGTAGAATATTCATAGTAAAATAATAGTGAAAATAAGAACAGTACTAAATGAAATGGAAAAATGCACAAAGCTTAAAGATTTTCTTATTTGATCCTCTTAACAACCCTTTAGCCAAGTATATAGAATAGATAAGGACAGTGTTATTAGCCCATTTCTTATTTGAGAAAACTAAGCCCAACGAAATTAAATTCATTTACCAAGTGTAGATTGAGTGTCTATTATGTGCCAAGAATATACTTCCATGCTCTCAGGAGCTTAAATTCTAGCAGGGAAGGCAGACAAGCAGTCAGCATAAGGTGACATGTGGGTTAAAGACACATTAAGGACAGGACTTCCTGAGTGGAGAAGGCTTCTGTCCCTAATGGCTTTAGCTATACTCACAGTTGCCTTGTTTGTTCTAAGTTCATGAGGAGACTCTTAAAAGAAAAGGGGAGGTACTGAATGAAACTACTGGAGGGCAGTTTCATTTCTTTTGTATCCCTCACCCTACTTCAAACCCAACGTGCTCAAAACAACACGTGTTCTCATCCTTCACCCAAAAGAATGGCTCCTCTCATGTTTCCTAACCCAGTGACCTGCAGCACCACCGAATTTGCAGGGACTCTCCTCTCCTCTCAGCCTCCCACTTTCAGTAGTAAGTGCTATAAGCTCTTCCTTTATGCTCCATGTCCCCGGCTGGAGCCTTTTTTCCAGCCATCATTTCTTGGGCCTTTGCAATAGGCTAACATCCAATCTCCCTAGTGATGGTAATAGAATTCAAGCTCTTTACCATGACTCAGACATCTTTTCCCAAGGTGGCAAACACCTCTCCTGCCTTGTCTCGCATGCAGGGTATGGCTCATGCCTCTGCACATTCCATCCTCTTTCTGGTAGGATCCTGCTCCCTCTTCCAGATGAACTGCTTCTTGTCCCTCAAAGCACACTTGGAATGTCTACTCTTGTTAAAGCCTGGCCTGCATCCCTGGGGACCCCTTCCTCTAGAGCAGCGGTTCTCAACCTGTGGGTCGCGACCCCTTTGGGGG